AATCTACAAGGAACTTAAACAAATTTACAAGAAAAATCTAAAGCCCCATCAAAAAGTGAGTGAAGGATATCAGCAGACACTTCTCAAAAGAAGACATTTATGTGGTCAACAAACGTGAAAAAGAGCTCATCATCACTGGTCATTAGAGAAATGCAAATCAAAACCACAATGAGATACCATCTCATGCCAGTTAGAATAGCAATGATTAAAAAGTCAGGAAACAACAGATGCTGATGAGGCTGCTGAGATACAGAAATGCTTTTACACTGTTGGTGTGAGTGTAAATTAGTTCTACCATTGTGGAAGATAGTGGGGCGATTCCTCAAGGATCTAGAACCACAAATACCATTTGACTCAGCAATCCCGTTACTGAGTATGTACCCAAAGGATTATAAATCATTCTTCTAAAAAGACACACGCACACATATGTTTATTGCAGCACTGTTTACAATAGCAAAGACTTGGAACCAACCAAATGTCCATCAATGATAGACTGGATAAATAACATATGGCATATACACACCATGGAATACTGTGTAGCCATAGAAAATAATGAATTCACATCCTTGAGAAACTAACACAGGAATAGAAAGCCAAACACTGCACGTCCCCACTCATAAGTGGGAGTTGAACAATGAGAACACATGGACAGAGGGAGGGGATCATCACACATCGGGGCCTGTCCGTGGTGGGTGGGGGACAAGGGGAGGGAGAGCATTAGGACAAATACCTAGTGTGTGCAGGGCTTAAAACCTAGATGAAAGATCGGTAGGTTCAGCAAATCACCATGGCACATGGGTACTTATGTTAAAAAGCTGCATATTCTGCACATGTATCCCAGAAATTGAAGTTAAAAAAAAAGTATTCTGTATTTTTAAGTTTTCTTTTAATTGAAATGTAATAATTGTGCATATTTATAGGATACAATGTGTGATGTTTTTTACATGTGTGCCATTGCACAATAGTCAAATCAGCTATTTAGCAGATCTCTCACCTCAGCATTTCCTTGTAGCGAAAACATAGTCTTGTATTTGAGTTATTGTGAAATTTTTCTCATATATTTGGAGCATTATTCCCCTTTGTTATGTGCATAGTTTGCATTTTGTCACCAAAGTTCATCACCTACATTCTAGTCCCTTTCATTCCTCAAGAATTATCCCACTTCCGAAATCAATGATTCAGACATGCTCTTCTCTGACCATTACCTCATGTCATTAGAGTATAATCACTTAACTGCTGTCTGGGGCCTCCAACTCACTGAACATTTTTGGTTTTATTGAGACAGGGTCTCACTTTGGCACCCAGGCTGGAGTCAAGAATTGAGGTTTGGTAACCTCCCCCTAGGTTTTGGAGGATGTATGCAAATGCCTGGTTGTCTAGGCAGAGGTTTGCTGCTGGGGCAGGGCCCTCATTGAGAACCTCTGCTAGGGCAATGTGGAAGGGGCATACGGGGTTGAGGCACCCACAGATAGTCCCCACTGGGGCACTGCTTAGTGGAGCTGTGAGAAGAAGGCCACCATCCTTCAGAGCCCAGAATAGTAGATCTCCCAACAGCATGCCCTGCGTGCCTGGAAAAGCTTCAGACACTCAACATCAACCCATAAAAGCAGCTGGGAGGGAGGCTATACCCTGCAAAGCCACAGGGGCAGAGCTTCCCAAGACCATGGCAACTCTTGCATCAGTGTGACCTGGATGTGAGACATGGAGTCAAAGGGTATTATTTTGAATCTTTAATATTTGAGTGCCCCACTGGATTTTGGACTTGCATTGGGCCTGTAGCCCCTTGTTTTGATCAATTTCTCCCATTTGGAATGGGGATAATTTCCCAATGCCTATACCCCCATTGTATCTAGGAAGTAACTAACTTGCTTTGGATTTTACAGGCTCATAGGTGGGAGGGATATGCCTTGTCTCAGATAAGACTTTGGACTGTGGACTTTTGAGTTAATGATAAAATGAGTTAAGACTTTGGGGGACTGTTGGGAAGGCATGATTAGTTTTGACATGTGAGGACATGAGATTTGGGAAAGGCCAGGGGTGAAATGACATGGTTTGGCTGTGTCCCCACCCAAATGTCATCTTGAATTGTAGCTTCCATAATTCCCATGTGTTGTGGGAGTGACCCAGTGGGAGACATTGAATCATGGGGTGGTTTTTCTCATACTATTCTCCTGGTAGTGAATAAGTCTCATGAGATCCGATGGTTTTATAAGCTGTTTCCCCTATTGCTTCACTCCCATGCTCTCTTGCCTGCTGCCATGTAAGAAGTGCCTTTCACCTTCCACCATAATTGTGAGGCCTTCCAAGTCGTGTGAAACTGTGAGACCGTTAAACCTCTTTTTCTTTATAAATTACCCAGCCTCAATTATGTCTTTATTCGTAGCACGAGAACAGACTAATACAAGTTGTTAAACGATTTCACTGATGAGAATTGAGAGATTCAGGCCAGGCGTGGTGGCTCAAGCCTGTAATCCCAGCACTTTGGGAGGCTGAGACGGGCGGATCACGAGGTCGGGAGATCAAGACCATCCTGGCTAACACGATGAAACCCTGTCTCTACTAAAAAATACAAAAAACTAGCTGGGCGAGGTGGCAGGCGCCTGTAGTCCCAGCTACTTGGGAGGCTGAGGCAGGAGAATGGCGTAAACCCAGGAGGCGGAGCTTGCAGTGAGCTGAGATCCAGCCACTGCACTCCAGCCTGGGCTACTGAGCAAGACTCCGTCTCAAAAAAAAAAAAAAAAAAAGAGAGAATTGAGAGATTCATATCGGGATAATTTGCCCATCACCACAGTGGATAAGTGGCAGAACATTGGTGTTCCTTCTCTTGGTTAGCCTGTAGATTTCATTTAGATTGGAGGGGAGTAGAATTCATAAATTTCCTGGTACAAATTTTATGATCACTCTGAAGTAGAATTGGCACTTTATTGTGGAGTTGCCAGGTTATATCACACTGCAGCTCCTGTTGCATGACCTGATAATGAAGTTATTATGTATAAGAGTGTATCTCTAGATGTATCGAAAAGACATCTGCTGAGTCAGCCCAGAGGAACCAAACCATGGCCTGGTCTCTGACGGAGTTTGACATTTTCTCTTCTCATCTCATCTGCTCTTGTCTCTTTCCTTTTTTTTTTTCCTCCTCTCCATCTCCCTCTCCCTGTCCTTGTCTCTGTCCCTCGAGTCTGGTTCTGTCACCTAGGCTGCAGTGCAGTGATGCAGTCACAGGTCACTGCAACCTCTGCCTCCCAGGCTCAAGCCATCCTCCCACCTCAACCTCCTGAGTAGCTGGGACTACAGATGCCCACCACCACACCAAGCTACTTTTTTTTTTTTTTTTTTTTTTTTTTTTTTAGTAGAAATGAGAGTTTCACTATGTTGTCCAGGCTACATTTGAACTTCTGAACTCAAACGATTTGCTGTCCTCAGCCTCCAGAAGATTGAGGATTATAGGCATGAGCCACTGCGCCCAGTCAGTTTGAGCTTTTCATACACACATTCTCAGGGATGTCATCCTTGACTGCAGCCTGTGGATGCTGATGGGGAGTAGCACAGTCTGAATCATGGTGTCCTTCAAAAAGTCGGTGTCCTTCAAGGATCTGGCTGTGGACATCACCAGGGAGGAGTGGGCCCTGCTGGACACAGCCCTGAGGAAGAACAGAGACATGATGCTGGAGATCTTGAATCCTGTGGCATCTGTGGCTGAATCTGTCAACATTCATTTACTTCATCAAATACTACCCAGAATAGCTTCCCCACATTCCACTCCATCTCTGCCCTGGTGCCTATGCAGTAGTCCCCACCTCATCTGCTTTAAATACATTCCCCGACCCTCAGTGGATGCCTGAAATGAAAGAGTATCTCTATGCTGTTTATTCCTGTACATTCATACCTATGATAAGGTTTAAATGAGGCACACGCAAAAGATTAACAGTAAAAATTAATAATACAATCAAATCATATAAATATCTACTACAATCAAAGTTATGTAAATGTGGTCTCTTAAAATATCTTACCGCATGATACTTAATTTTCAGACCACAGTTGACTGCAGGTAACTGAAGCCACAAAAGCATAACCTCAACTGAGGGAGGACTACTTAGCACCCCTATAGCACTCAGAACTAACTGGACAGAATTTGCTTATTTATTCACTTACGTGTAGTTTGTCATCTCATGAGAATGCCCACTTCCTGACCAAGAATTTATAGGTTTTTTTGCTACTCCATATCTAACACCCAGAACCATGCTGGACGCTCAATGGATATTTGTTAAAAGGAGGAAAAACTGTGTTAAGTATTTACTAACAACCGTTCTGCTCAGTGAACCATGGTGGAGTTTGACACCCCAGTAGTAAACATGGCAGAGACTATTCCTCTAAAATAGACCTCTCAGCGTTCTGATTGAGCTTATGCCTATTAGACGTCTTTTGAAAATAAGATCTAATCCGCTGTGGAAACAATACCATCCTGGTTGTAAAAAAGAGAAGGTATAGCAGCCTGTCAGAGACAGTGTCTCATTCTGTCACCCAAGCTGGAGGGCAGTGGCACAGTCAGCTCACTGCAGCCTCAAATTTCTGGGCTCAAGTGAGCCTCCTGCCTCGGCTTCCTGAGTAACTGGGACTGCAGACATACACCACGATACCTAACTGAGTTTTTATTCTTTTAGAGACAAGGTCTCTGTGTTGCCCAGACAGGCCTCGAACTCCCAGCCTCAAGTCACAATCTCCCAAGGTGCTGCAATTACAGGTAGAGGCCTCCATGCCTGGCCATGCAGTCTATCTTTAGCCCTGGGCACGAGCATCAGCAAACAGCTCCCCAGTCTCTGAGCTCCAGGCCAGGTGCCCTTCCTGCTCTGGGCGGCGCCTCCCATGTTTCTGGTATTCAGGGCACTCTTCCTGGCATTGCCATTTCATGTGTGCTGTGTTCCTCCCCTCCCCGCCCTTGATGATCAGTCACAGATCTCAGCACAGAACTAAACGTTCAAGCCCATGTTTTCTGCAAACAGGATATCAGGTCTCCAAATCAGATGTGAGTGCTCAGAGCCAGGAGAGGAGAAGCGGAGGGGAGGAGGTTGCCCCAAATCCTGAGTGCAGGTGAGCTCCAGGTCCTGTGAGCTGGTGTGAAGAGCCACCCAGGAGGGACAGGGCTGGGGCCATGTCAACCTCAGATGTCCTTGAGGGAGTGGCTTTTCCAACGTCGTATTGAGGTCAGTGTAAAAATGCCTGTCCAGTGGTGTCATAATTCTTCAGACATTTCCCTCTGTCTTCATCTAGCCTTCAGCACGTTCCTTGGCCTCAGAGGGAGGCATCTTCCTTCCATGCGTCTTTGACGGGAGTTAAACTTGATACAGTACCCTTTGTTTTTGGCCCTCCCCTTGTTGATTTCCCCTGTCTCAATCTCCCAACATCCATCTTTTAATTTTCCCTCTCATTTTGGTCTTAACAATATTCTCTAATTGTTGATGTCCTATAATGTTCTTCTGATCGCTGGTATATTCCTTTATTTCGTGTCTTCACTCTTTGTTGCAGATCAATATTTGAAACATACTTGCTTGCTTTTGTAAAATGTTCCTTCCCCTAATGCCACTATAGCTGTTTCTTTTCTCAAAGAAACATCTTTTCACATCTTCTCAGGTATGGAAAGTGAACTTGAAAGGTATGAAACGATAGTCACACAGGATATCTTTAGGAAATTCCCATTCATCCATGCGTCAGTTTTAAGTCTCAGGGAATGACCCTGCCTATCCACATAAGGGACCTGGGACTGGGATGAGTTAGAAACTCGGCGCAACCACCTGCCTGAAAATAGAGATGAACGTAGGCGCTGCCCCAGCAGCAAATGTTGCATAATTTGAATTTTGGAATGAAATTGGCCTAAAGTCAAACTGTAATCTGAGTTTCTATGAAATGGAGACTGCTTAATCATACCTCACATATCTAGCATTTGGAACATAAACAAGATCTAAAACTTAACCGGAAAGCAATGCAGGTGACGGGCTGAAGTTTAGAAACTGGATGCGAATGTAAGAAAGTAACACTCCATTTGAAGATAACTGACTCAGGGAGACTTAAGCTGGAGAGGATCCCTGAAGGGCCAACTCAGAAGTAACATGCAAAGGAATGAATGAAGGAATGTATGTGAGCAAGCCTCCCACAGCCTCTTCCTTCCATGCCAAGAGCAGAGATTTCTTACCAGAGTGGAGCTTTTTTAATGTAATGAGCCTGGGGAAGATTTCACATACAACCCAAACTTCTGTCCGCCTGGCCTGGCCTTCATTTTTCTGCCTTCTCGCCTCACGTGCTGCCTTCTTGTCTTCTGACTCTGCCTTCCTCTTTTCTCGGCTTCCGGCCTTTTGCCTTCCAGCCTTTCTGGCCTTCTGACCTTCTACTTTGTTCCTTTCTGGCTGCTGCCGTCTGGACTGGCCTTCTGCCTTCTGGCCTTGCCTTCTTGCCTCCACACCTTCTGCATTTGGCCCTCTGGCTTTCTTTACTTCTGCCTTCTGACCATCTGACTTGGCCTTCTGCCTTCTGATGATCTGATCTGGCTTTCTGCCTTCTGGCCTGGCCTTCTGCATTCTGGCCTCCGGTCATTCAGGCCTTCTGCCTCTGGCCTCTGGCCTTCTGCTTTCTAGCCATGTGGCCTACTGCCATCTGGCCTGGCCTTCTGTGTTCTTGCCTTCTGGCTTTCTGGAGCTCTGGCATGATGTCTTCCTTTTGGTGTTCTGTCTTCTGGCCTGGACTTGTGCCTTCCCGCATTCTGGCTCTCTGGCCTGGCCTTTTGTTTTCTGGCAGTCTTCTCTCTGGCCTGGCCTCTGGTTTTCTGCCTTCTGGCTTTCTGCCCATCTGGCCTGGTCTTTGGCCTTCCGTCCTCCTGTCCTTCCTTCTAACCTCCTTGGCCATCCTCCTTTCTGTGTTCTCCTTTTGGTGTTCTGCCCTCTGGCCTGGCCTTCTGCATTTTCGCCTGGAGTTCTATTTTCTCACCTACTGACCTTCTGGCCTTTGTCCCTGGTCTTCTGCCTCCTGGCCACGTGGCCTGGCCTTCTGCCCTCTGGTCTTCTGGCCTGGCCTTCTTCCTTCTGGTCTTCTGCTTTCTGGCCTGGCCTTCTGTTTTCTGTCCTTCTGCCTTCTGTCCTTTTCCCTTCTGGCCCTCTGCCTTCTGGCCTTCTGGCTTTTGTCCTTCTGGCCTTCTGCTTTCTTGTCATTTGCCCTTCTGCACCTGGCCTGGCCTTCTGCATTCTGGCTTCCTGGCCTTCTGGCTTATGGCCTTCTGTCCTCTGGTCTTTTTTTTTGTGTGCCTTGTAGCCTTCTGCCTTCTGGGCTGGCCTTCTGCCTTCTGGCCTTCTGCCTTCCGCTCATCTGGCCTGGCCTTCTGGCTTTTTGGCGCTCTGGCCTGACCATCTACTATCTTTCTGTTGTTGTTCTGGCTTCTTGGCTTATCTTCTGTATTCTTGCCTGGCCTTCTGTATTTTGTTCCTGCCTACTGACCTTCTGGCCTTCTTCCCTGGCTTTTTGGCCTCCTGCCTTCTGACCTTGTGGCCTGGCCTTCTGCACTCTGGCCTTCTGCTTTTTGGCCTTGTGTCCTGGTCTTTGCCTTCTGAGATCTGGCCTTCTGTGTTCTGGGTAGCTGACTGGGCCTTTGGCCTTCTCACCTTCTTGTTTTCTTCCTGGCCTTCTGCTGGCTGCTCTTCTGGCCTTCTGCCCTCTGGCCTGTGTTTCTGGTCTTGCCTTCTTTCTGACTTCTGGCCTTTTCTGGCCTGGCTTTTTCTTTCCTGGCTCTCTTTTCTCTAGCTTGGCCTTCTGTGTTGTGCCCTTCTAGCCTTCTGACTTTCAGCCTGCTCACCTCTGTCCATCTGGCTTGGGCTTCTGCCTTCTTGCTTGGCCTTTGCTTGCTGGCCTTCTGGCCTTCTGCCTTCAGGAATTCTGGCCTTTTGGACTGGCCTTATGTTTTTCTGGCCCTCTTCTCTCTGGCCTGGCCTCTGGCCTTCTGCCTTCTGGTCTTCTGCCCATCTGGCCTAGCCTTTTGCCTTCTTGACTTGTCTTTTGTTTTCTGGCCTCTGACCTGCTGTCTTCTGACCTTCTGACCTTCTGTCTTGGCCTTCTGGATTTCTTCCCTGGTCTTTTTGCTTCTGGCCTTCTTCCCTGGCTTTCTGCCTGCTGGCCTTCTGGCCACGTGACCTGGCCTTCTACCCTCCGGCCTTCTGGTCTGGCCTTTTGCCATCTTGTGTTCTGTCTTGGTCTTCTGCCCTCTGGAAGTCTGACCAGGCCTTTGGCCATCTCACCTTCTTGCTTCCTTCCTGGCCTTCTGCTTGCTGGTCTTCTGGCCTTCTGGCCTTCTTGCTTCTTGGTGCTCCGGCGTGGCCATCTGTCTTTCTTTCAGTGTTCTGTCTTCTGGCTTGGCATTCTGACTTTTGGCATTCTTGCCTTATGGCCTGGTCTTTTGTTTTCTGGCCTCCATCTCTCTGGCCTGGCCTCTGGCCTTCTGCTCATTTGGCTTGGCTTTCGGCCTTCTGTTTTTCTTTCTTCTGGTCTTCCTCCTTCTAACCTTCTGGCCTTCTGGCTTTCTGGCACTCTGGCTTGGCCTTCTTCCTGTTGGTGTTCTCTCTTGTGGTCTGACCTTCTGCCTTCTTGCCTCATTTTCTGTTTTCTGGCTTTCTTCCCTTGTCTACTTTCTTCTGGCCTTCTTCCCTGGCCTTCTGCATTCTTTCCTGGTGTTCTGTTTTCTGGCCTTCTGGCCTGCTGCCCACTGACCTTCTGACATTCTTCCCTGACCTTCTGCCTTCTGGCCTTCTGGCCTGATATTTTGCTTTCTGGCTATGTGGCCAGGCCTCCAGCCCGCTCACCTTCTTGTTTCCTTTCTGCCCTTCTGCTTGCTGGTCTTCTAGCTTTCTACCTTCTGGCCTTCTGGCATGGCCTTTCCTTTTCTTCCCTCTGACCTGGCCTTGTGGCTTTCTGTCTTCTGGCCGTCTGGCCTGGCATTCTGTCTTCTAGCATGGCTTTCTGCCATCTGCCATTCCGGCCTCTGTCTTCTCTCCTGGTCTTCTGCTTTCTTACCCCTTATAGGTTCTGGCCTTTTGGCTTGGTCTTCTGCCTTCTTACCTTCTGACTTTCTGCCTCCTGGCCTTTGGCCTTTTGCCTATTTAGCCTTTTTGTTTGTTTTCTTTCTTTTTTTTTTTTTTCTCCTGGCTTTCTCCCTTTTGGATTTCTGGCTCTCGGACTTTTGGTCTTCTGGACTGGCCGCCTTCTTATCGCCTTTCTGGCCTCCTAGCTTTCAGCCTGCTGACCTCTGGCCACTCGGCCTCGGCTTTTGCCTTCTTGCCTGGCCTTCTGCTTGTTGGCCTTCCAGCCCTCTGCCTTCTGGCATTCCTGCCTTCTTGCCTAGTCTTTTGTTTTCTGGCCCTCTTCTCTCTGGCCTGGCCTCTGGCCTTCTGGCTTCTGTCGTTCTGCTCATGTGGCCTGGCCTTTTGCCTTCTGGCCTTCTGGCTTTGGCTTTCTTTTGGCTTTGGCCTTCTTCTGCTTTCTGGCCATCTGGCCTGTCCTTCTGCCTCCTGGCCGCCTGCCTTCTTCCTTTTGGACTTTGGCTTAATGGTGCTCTCGCCTGGGCTTCCTCCTCCTGTTCTGCCTTCTTGCCTTGCCTTTTGCTTTCTGGTCATCTGGCATGCTGTTTTCTGGCCTCCTGTTTTCTGACCCAGTGCTCTGTTTTCTGGCCTTCTGGCCTGCAACCTTTCGTTCCTCTGTCCTTCTTCTGGCTTTCAGGCTTTCTGGCACTGCAGCTTGGCCTTCTTCCTTTCAGTGTGTTGTTTTCTGGCCTGGCTTTCGCCCTTCTTGCCTGGCTTTCTGTTTTCTGGCCTTGTGACCTGCTTCCTATTTACCTCCTGGCCTTCCTCCCCGGTCTTCTGCCTCTGGCCATCTTGCCATCTGCCTTCCGGCTGTCTGGCCGGGCCTTTGGCCTTCTCACTTTCTTCCTTCCTTCCTCTGCTTGCTTGGCCTCTGCTTGCTGGTCTTCTGGCCTCCTGCCTTCTGGCCTGTTTCTCTGGCCTGGCCTTCTGCCTTCTGGCCTTCTGACTTTTGTCTTCTGGAATTCTATCTTCTTGCCTTTGCCTTTCTGGCTCTCTGGCCTGGCCTTCTTTCTTCTGGTCTTCTGCCATCTGGCCTGGCCTTCTGCTTTCTGGGCATCTGACCTGCTGCCTTCTGGCCTTGTGTCCTGGCCTTCTGCCTTATTCCCTGGTCCCGTGCCTTCTTATTGTTTACCTTTTGGCTTTCTGACCTGGCCTCCTGCATTCGGGCCTTCTGCCCATTTGGCCTGGCCTTCTGACTTTGACCTCCTGACCTTCTGTCTTCTTGGCTCTGGCTTTCTGGCTCTCTGGCCTGTCCTTCCTTCTGGCCTTCTGTCTTCTGGCCTCCTGACTTTCTGGAACTCCGGGTCTTCTTTTGTTCGGTGTTCTGTCCTCTGGCCTGACTTTATGCTTTCTTGCCTTGCCTTCTGTTTTCTGGCCTTCTGGCCTACTGTCTTCTGGCCTTCTGGTCATGTGGCCTGGCCTTCTGCCCTCTTGCTTTCTGGCTTGGCCTTCTGCTTTCTGGCATTCTGTCCTGCTCTTCTGCCTTCTGGCCCTCTGGCCTTCTGCTTACTGATCTTCTGGTCGTCTGGCTTCTGGTTTGGCCTTCAGGCATTCTGATCTTCTGGCCTGACCTATTGTTTTCTGGCCCTATTCCTTCTGGCCTGGCCTCCTGGCTTTCTGCCTTCTGGCCTTCTTGGCAAGCCTTCTGGCCTGGCCTTTTGCCTCCTAACATTCTGGCCTTCTGACCTGGCCTTCCTGCTCTTTCTTTTGGTACAGTACCTGTTCAGGTCTTTTGCCTGTTTTTTTCCCGATTGGGTACTCTCCTTTTTCTTATTGGTTAGTAAGTGTTCTTTATATATTCTGGATATTAGTTCTTGGTTGAAGATATTATTGCTAATATGTTCTCCATTCTGTAGGTCGCTCTCTCATTCTCCTAATGGTGATATTTGTTGGACAGATATTCTCATTTGTAATACTATACATTTTATTTCTTTTTTCTTGCAACAGAATATAATTTTCTTAAGGATATTTAAATGAAGAAAGCAGCATCTTCCAGTGGATGAAGGGGTTTTAGCAGAGGGAGGGAGGTGGGAATGTCAGGAGCTTGGAGGACACAGGTGTCACCTGACCCTCAGGGATGTGTAAGAATCTGGAGCCGGGGGGAGGCTGCAGGAGTTTTGGGTGGGACAATCATGGAGGCTTTCTAAAGCCATGCTGTGGAGTTGGTCTTCCTTCCTGAAGTCCACAGAGAGCTGAAGTTTTGAGCAAGGGCTGTCAAGACCAGAGCTGGGGTTAGGATTATTAATTCAACAGCAAATGCCTGATGTGGTGAAGTGGAGTCAGAGAGAGCCCTGC